TTGACTAGTTTGAGGTCTGCTTCTCTTAAACTCCATTTATATCACTGTCCTTGGTAAAGACATTTGTCATGCTGAGACGTGCCCCTTTTATCCATTTTTGTGGGAAAAAAACATTTCCAACTTACCAAATTAAATATTATGCCAAAACACAATATTTAAATTATGTTTAATATTCACATGATACATGCATGTCTCTTCTACAAACCCCCTACATACCACAGTTTTAGTTACTATTCCTAATATTTAGATTCTAATAATTTGACAACATAGTTTCCTTGTATTTCGCATGTACAAATCACTGATAAACAATCTACAAAATAGTCTCAACATTTCACAATCTGAGAACAAAAACGGTTGAAACATTTCACAAGGTCGCCCTTTAAACTGTTGTACACACATAAAGGGGTTTGCTGATAAATTTGCTGGTTCCTGTTAGTAGAAACATTCAATTTTGATTGTAACTGCTATCAAGACATTACAAAACAATCATGTTTGTAAGTGGACGTTTTGTAAGATGACCTACAGTTGGTCAAACATTTTGAACAATCTTAAATTAATGCACAATTGAGTGCAAAGGTGAATTGACACTAGGTGTACCTGTATGATGTACCCACCACTGCAAGAATACCCCCCCCCCCCAACCCACACCATCCAATTAAGATACAAGCAGGAACCAGACAACCACACCCTCTACCAGTACTTCAGTCATTGGAATTTGGTAGTTCTCATTTTTCGAATGACAACTGTTTCTCAACTGTTACATAGCATGCATAAAGACGCACTCCACAAACAGTATTCCATAACTTATTTATTTCAAAATTTAACAAATGAATGTGAAAAATAATCTCCAATATTGATCAAAAGGGGCAGACCACGAAACAGAAACGACATTATGTAGGGCTTTTAATCATCACCCATACGATTGCCACTAACAGCAATCGCTTGCATGCTCAATCCCTCAAATAATTTAACTCCAGTCTTGCCTTACAAGTAGTCTATTTTAGACCATCAAACTTAAATTTATTGCAGAACTACTATAATCATGGAGGTAAGAATAGATTTTTTTTTTTACCTCCATGCTTAACAAAATTAACCACAATTTTGTTTTTCAAGTACACGTAATTAGGTGTAGAAAAATGTACAACATCTGTCTAGATAGTCTGTCTTGCTAGCTATGTGGATCAAGTTTCCTCTTAATGTTTATGTTTCGAAATAACAATACTAACTGTATTTGCTTTATTGGAATATAAACCAAAAATTGCACTTGTATACTGAATCATTAAAATATTACTTATTTTGACCATGGAAATGCTACTGCCATTGAGCGCATATGCTATTAATACAAGAAACATGGCACATTCCAAAAATATGTTGAAGTCCATCTACCATTCAAGAACATTCATAAAATTGTGGGTAATTAGGTTTGTATATTTAATGTATTCAAATTGGAAGGTTACCATTTTGATAATTCAAATTTCATTTGCTCACTTTTGAATAGTGTTGTAAATACATGTGGTTTAAGATTTTATGCTTTCAAATTACCACAGCCTGGAGCAAATCAAATTTCCCAGCAATTTGCAATGTTCATGCCATCAAATAAGACAAGTCCCCAAGGGTTTAACGGAGCCAAACAGAATGTTATCAGGAGTCCAACTTAGGCTATTCAATTTTAAGTACAAATTTGAAACCAATCTATGTCCATATCACTGCTTTCTCATTAGAACGTGCATTTTACAGAGCTAAAATAATTACATAGCGCATTGTTGCTAAACTACCGAGGACTTCAATACATTTTCTTTTGATTAAATAGTGAATCTCCAATTCCATTGTGGAGTTTTTCAAGTTCAGGAAACTTTTCAAATTCAGTGCAGGGAGTTGTGCACTAAAAATATAAGTTTTGGAGGAGTTAACTTTTGGAATGAAGTTTTCAAATTTTTTATACATCTTTGGCATCTCGTGTACCAACAAGTGAATACAGAGAATGACAGAAACCTGTACCTTAATTTATAAAAGTATGTAAATACAGATACTCAGCTTAAACAATGATTGGTTTAGGAGCTCACCATTGCCTACACACATGTTTCTGTGTGTGTGCATACATGTCTTTAAACTGACAAGTGCAGCCACCTACCAATTCAAAATGAAGTCTGTTGGTTGGATGATGTGCGTCTGCCATCCACTGCAATGTTGATCATGCCTAACTATATAAAGTGAAATTATAAAAACTAATATCTCATTCCATGTTATCAGGTTCACATTTCGTAGGATTGGGCTTCATCAAATAACGATATACAATAGAAATTGAAAATAATTCATAAAAATTATATAAGGGTTGCATTTCACCCCACCCCCAAATGAGTTACCATCACCCAAAAATGTAACCCCTTTTGTCTTAAAACCAAGTCAGTTTGCAATCACCCAGTCATGCAAGAGAGACGACCCTTTATCGACAGGTCATCTTTATATAGGGGTTGATTTATTGCTAAATAAAAAAAATGACAAGAATTTTCAGTTCAAGGGGCATTTTGTCAACAGATATTTGCAGATGGGGGAAAAATCACCATCTGGAAATGTGACTAGTAGGATGTTTTTATAAAAATGTGGTCACACACTAAATTAAATCTGTCAAAAGAGAACATGATAATTGATGAATAATCCTGTTAATGGATACCTTGTATAAGCCTAAAAACTAACATGCCAAGGTTTGGGGTATATTACTGGACACATGTTTGTCATAGCCTATTTTTGCACAGCAGATAACAATTTACAAGCTAATGTTAATATTCATATACATCACTTTGTGGCCATTTAAGTTAAAAGGTAAGTTAAGCAGGGACACTTGAGTTAACTGTAAAAATATCCCGTTAACTCACAACATAAATTTTTATAGGTGAGAAGATAAGTATTCATCAACACTATTCAGTTATGCAAGTAATATCTCATTCTGAATGTACCCAATTGGTTGAGCCAGGGAATGTGAGTGGCAAATACAATACACCAATGATAATTAAAATTACTGTTAAATTTTACAGCTCTGACTGAACTGTTTAACCCAAGACTAGTGGTTACAAAACTTTATATACATAATAGTAATTTTAGTTATTAAAACTGTAGATGCCACTAGGATTATTCCTAAATGTTTTATTACAACAGCAGACATCATAGCAGTTATTTGCATGATCAAGTGAAAAAACACTCATGGGCAGTGTTAACTGATAACAGTGTAGAAGTGCATCATTTTGATGAGTGTCACCTCACTGTAGATAAAGTCTATAAAAATATCTTGTTGGGAGCCAAACAGGGGTTTAACTTTATTTTCACTGTACTTCCATAAGTGATTTCTCAGACACGAAATGCCATACATAACTGTTATAGTGTCCATAGTTTATCTATCATTGAATTCAAACTGTAAATAATTAAACTCTGCTTCAATTCCTTTGTAATACCTAATTAAAATAATTGTATAGTGATATCCCAGTATTCTGACAGTAGTCACTGTGGGAGAAACTGTGCATGGAAGGATAAATTATTAAATGAACAAGTCTGACTTTTATTTAAGTTTAAACAATGCCAAGAAAACTACTGGTATTATGCAATAAACTGTGAATGTTGCATTACTTGAAGCACCATTTTCTCAAAATATAAATGTACTCTAAAAGGAAAAAAGTAGAACGACAAAATATGCAAGGAAGTTGTACCATTTGTATAATTAAAACAAGTAAAATAAAACACACTGGAAGTTGTAGAAAAACAAAATCAACTGGTATGCCATTTGTAGACATTTAATTCCATACAAAATATGGTTCTTTGTCAATCAATGATGCTTTTTTGTGTTTAGGTAATTAAATATTTATGACTTAGCAGAAAGAAATGTTACTACAATAAATATTCCTAATCTAATCAAATTACAAAACTGTTTAGACACTTTTCAGATCTAAAAAAAAAGCTTGGTGAACAAATTTCAATACAGTACAAGACTTCTTAACAAAAGGTCAGCTAAAGTTTGCTCAATGAGGGCAGACTCACAAAATTCACAAAAGTTTTGGAATACCTTCAGACAAGATAAACTGACTGTCTTGACTTTACTTTTAAAGCCAATAAATGATTAACAATTGTTCAATGCCCCTCGCCACAGAACTGCTTAGATTTCAAACAATCACTAGTGAGGAGGAAGAGTACTGGTGAGAGGGAAACGACCAACAAGTACATGTACTAAAATGTTAAGAAATTGAACATTTGTGAAAGTTAATTTACCCTCTTCCAGATAAAAGTAGAAAAATGATTGAGAACTAAGCTGTAAGCAGTATTAACTTGAAACATTGTAGAAACTGAGATGGCAAATGTTAACTATGATTTTATATTGTATTGGAAACGCAGGAGCTCAATTGTAACAAGTGTTGCATACACCATAAATCTACAGAAACAACGAAAAAAAGAAAATGCCACTATAACTAACATGCATAAACAAATTTAAGTTAATGAGGTTATTACACCAGTGAGACATGAATATTGAAAGGTACTGGTTATCTATAATTCACCAACTTAAATAGATGTGCAGATAAGTATAGGTTTACTCTATTAGCTACTAGTAGCTCTCTTTGAAAGCACATACGTTATAGAAGATAAGTGCATGTGTAAAATGCAGTTGTCATCTGATTTATACCATATTTTGACATTATAGAAGCTAATACTTATTAATAATAAGTTTACTAATGGAACAATTTCTCAGTATACCATATGTACTTATTTAGTATCACAAATATTTAATATTAAATGTTAATATTAAAATGTTACCAATAAAGTGCACAAGAAAAGAATATTGTAAAAATAATTAACTTTCTAGTTAATTCTATTATGAGCTGTTAAATTTCAATATTGGCATGGGTTTCATAAAGTTCTCATTACAGTCATACTAAAGTCACACCTGCAGTGGTATTAATAAGCAATGAGTAGGGAAATGAGTGATTCTTCCATACACAATATAGTATTTTTATTCAACATCACTTCTTCAAACACAGCAATGGTGAGGAAAGACTTCCTACAGCTAATCTTGCTACTTCATCCCATTTATTGCAATCAGCACAAACATTGATGAGGGGATTGGCTGGATCATAAATGATAGGCCTGACAAAACAAAACAAAAATACTATTATTGCCAAAACAAAGTTGATAATGTTCTATATTGTTCTTGCCATATCAAAGTTGTTGCTGTGGCAATTAAAATTGTTATCTTTCTAAAAACAATACCAAGTAAAGTAATTGAACATGTAGTTCAAGAACAAGCAGCCTAAAGAACAGAAGATATCATTAGAAAACGAACAATATGTATAAGTATCAAAGCAATCAGACTTGCTGTTTTCAACAAGAATTTGAAATTTCGCTTTTTACCAAAAAAGACACAAATACATGTATTCACGAAAATTAGAGAATTAAAAATATCATCACAAAATGAACAAACCTGAGAGGTCCACATGTAATACATAAATGTACATGTACCTATACATATGTATATGTAATATCAAAGCAATCAGACATGCTGTTTTTAACAAGAAGTCAAAAATATTACTTTTTACCAAAAATTACAAAAATATTCACCAAAATTAGAGAATTAAAGAAAAAGAGGTTTACCCAAGGTACATATACACCAAGTATCAAAGCATTCAGGCTTGTAGTTTTCAAGAAGTTGAAAAAGTAAAAACTTGACACAAACGCCGACAGACAATCACTCATATGATAAGCTCTACTCGACAAAGTCAACAGCAAAAAAGTGGAAAATATGTTTGCTAAAATAAAGAATCAAAGGATACTGTACAAAATGACTGAATCTGTCAGATGTCCACCTAAAGTGAATGCAACTACATGTACATACCAAATATTAGCAGCAAATAGAAAACTGAAGATATCATAAAATGAACAAGGTATCTGCATTCCAATATCAAAGTAACATCAGCATTTAAAAAGTACCATAACAGTGACCAGGGCGATCTTTCAGATAAATAAGATAATCCTGAGTTAACTGCTTGTACAACAGTATTGGTGAGGACACTACATACAATAATTTGTTTGGATTATTTTATGACATTGGAGTTGGGGGTAATAACAATGTAGATTCAACTAACTTTTAAATTAGTAAACTTTGGACATCTACAAACAATTGCTTTGTACCTACCGAGTTGGTTTTACTATGCTATGAATTTTCTCTGCAAGGTCTTCACGACAGTTAACAAACCACTCCACCTCTACAGCATCATAGGACATAAAGCGTTGCAGTACAGCACGAAGTCCATCAGCCATGTCAAATCTAATCTTCTCACCAGTTTCCTCCCAAGTATCAATTGTTATCAACTCCAACATGTATTCAGAAGGCATAGTGCTTTTGTCTATGGAGTTGGCTTCACATAGACTATTCAGCCAATATTTGACCAAGCGTGATAGATTCTTCACTTGTGGCGGGATCTCTTTGAAGAAGTCTAGCTGTAGGTGTGTCAAATGTGTAGAGTATGCCAGTTTCTCTGCATCAGATTCAGCTAAGATGCTCTGATAAATCTTTCCTTTGTCATCTGAATCCCAAAGAAAATACACTCATCACTCACTCAGTCAGTCAGTTCGAACATAAACATGTCAGATATGGATCCAAGAGCTGATGCTTGATTATGGTGATGTTTTAACACTGAAATGATTGACATTCAGTCATCTTGTATCTGATCTTCAAATGAGTACTATATAAAGAGATTAAAACAAAATGGACACTGGTCGTCCATTTTGTATATATATTTTGTATGTACATCTGTATATCTATAACATGACGTAGAATGAATATAAACAATTTGAACATAATCAGACAAAGCAAGGCAGAGACATGGCACTAGTACTGCATTCATTAAAACAAAATGGCCCCATTCAGCCATTACAATCTAATCTGAAATATAAAATGATGTGCATCAAGGTCCCATAATGTCTAACGTATGTACCAAGTTTGAACAAAATCCATTCCTAAATGCTTGATTTTGATGATTTTTCAGCACAAAAATGGCTGCCATTCGGACATCTTGAATCAGATCATGGAACAAATTGATGTGAATACATGTATGTATAATACTATATACCGTATTTATCCGGGTATAAGCCCAGAGTCCTGAACATGGAAAAATCGACAAAAAGAAAGGGTGGGCGTTTGTCCGGATATCCCCGGCAAAAAAAAAAGAAAAAACGCAAAAAATTGCAACACTCAGATCGAACTGCGACAGGGAGTAAAACAGCAAATAAAAATATGCAACAAAAATAAATGAACAATATGCAGCATTAGAAGTGTAACAATTTATTGCTTAGAATGTGACAAATATTAAAACCAGAAAAAATAAAAATCGACAGTGAAGATTCATTTGAACACCCCCATCGACAAACACGTTGCCCCATACGCGTGAATTATTTCCAGTTTTGACAAATACCGGATCAACAGCCATACAAGATCAATAATAATTTACGCAGTAAAATTACACAAGTCACTGTCAATGACACGTCCCCGTTCCGTTCATATTTGAGTGACATATACATTCAAAGCAGCAACAATATGGATGTTGAACTGCATTCAGTAAAACAAAATAGCCACCAGTCAGCCATTTTCAACACAATCCAAAAAAAAATTTAAACTAAATTTGCCCACGCATGACATAGATTCAGTTCCGGTATGGTGAAAATGTGCAATTTTTGTGAATTTTTGACCTTAAAAGGACTGGCCCAAATGCACAGGCATATGTATGATATACCGTTAAAGTCCTATTATAAACCGCGGTTTATATTACAATGTATCAATTTAAAAATTGGGATCAAAAGCTCAAGTTCGGGTGTGCGGTTTCTATTACGTACATATTGCAATCACTAAATGGGCGTGGTCATTTTTTGTCCACAGCACATGCACAAAACAAACAATACACCGTACAATCTCTTGAATAGGCGTCGGGGAAGAGTGAAAGGCCTTATTTTGGTCCTAAAATAGGCATTACGAAATGTTGAAAAATTACAGTCAATCAAAAAAAAAAATTCCACATGATACAAAAAGTACTCAGTATTTTTAATGTAATATGCATTTATTTTTTTAATTTTCTTGGTAACGAAAAGTATATTCTAACAGAAGTTTCAAAT